ATTCTAGTCTCGAGAGAACATGACACCACTAATTATGGATTCTAAGTCAACGTACAACAATAAGTTTGGTACTTTTCGGCATTCAGATATGATTGGGAAGGAATATGGGACTAAGGTAAAGTTATTGAGCTATATATATATACGTATATTTTTTGCTGACTCAACCAGTTAGACGTAACTTTCAAGATCAACCAGTTTTAATTAAAAGTTCAAATTTATTCAAATGTAGATGCCTTCCCACAATGGTAGAGGTTTCATGTATTTGCTACATCCAACACCTGAACTATGGACACATATTGTTCCACATAGAACACAGATCCTATATATGGCTGATATTTCTTTTATAACAACATATCTTGATTTAAAACCCGGCTCAATAATATTGGAATCTGGTAATTAATTAATATCTTTTAATTGAAAATTAATAAATTTTATTTAATAATCTTTTGTATTTTAGGAACCGGAAGTGGATCCTTTTCCCATTCCCTAGCTAGAACTATTGCTCCAAATGGTCATTTATATACGTTTGAATATCATGAAGAACGTGCAAAAGCAGCAAAGTATTTTAATATTTAGATAAATCATTAAAAATATAGACTATTCATTTGCTGGTATTGATATACTGGATTTTGAAAAGCATGAGGCAAATCATTAAATATATGATTAACTCATTCGTTAATATTTGATAGACAAGACTTTGAAAAACATGGTCTCTCCGATCTTATTACTACTGAATGCAGAGATGTTTATAAGGATGGATTTGGAATAACCGATTTAGTACATGCTGGTATGATTATAATCATCTTTTTTTGAAAAATGTTTTCCGACAACCTATTTATATTGTTTAATTATTTAGTTTTTTTGGACTTGCCTGCACCATGGGACGCAATTGCTTCTGCTAAAGCTGCTTTTAAGGTAATTATTTTCTTTTCTATTTCTTTTTCCGCAATTATCTGTAAATTGGTGATGATTAAGTTATATATAATTTTCTTTGTAGCAAAAACGAATAGGTAAAATTTGTTGCTTTAGCCCATGTATTGAACAAGTACAACGGGCATGTGCTTCATTGAATGAACATGGGTTTGTCGGTAATTATCATGAACAATTTTTATACTTGCATATCTTACTTTGTCATTAAGTAAACATTTATCAACCTTAATTAATATTGATTAACAGAAATTAAAATGTTTGAATGCCTTATTCGAAATCAAGAAGTACATACCATCCCAATATATACCGTGAAAGATGCTGTATCCAAAATCAAAGTTCAACAAGACAAAAAACGTAAGCGTAACGAAGAAGAAGCATCTAATTCGAAAGCAGTAAAATCTCCCAAGATTAAACAAGATCCACCAAATTTATATGTGGCCAAAACTCCAACTGAAGCAAAAGGTCATACTAGTTATTTGACTTTTGCTACATTTTTACCAGTTTTAGACGATGAAATTGAAATTATTGATAAAGCGAATGAATTAAATTAAGACATGTGATAAATTATTCCTAAATTGTATAAGAGAAAAGTATGCAAATGCATTAGATCGCATACATGTTCATTTCATTGTAATTAATACAAAAGAGATACAGTTAGTATAGTACAAATATAAATAAATAAATAAAAAAACTGATTTTTTATACTTTTTTTTTTGATTATTATGTTTTATTCGATGTATGCTTTAAACATATATATAAATACTCTTCAATTGTTTCCTAAAAAAGATCTACAAGATCTTTATCAACTCGGAATAAAAAAAATAATAATAATAAATAGTCAATCCGAAAAACCATTTAGATCGGATTGAATAAATAACAATTTAAACAAAATTGGTTTTAAACCAAAAAAGGAAAGAATTTGTACATTATAACGAAAGAAGTTGTCCTAATAAGGAAAAGTATATATAGATATTCAAAGTGTCATTTCCACTTCAACTATGACTCTTTGAGCCGATAGAAAAAAGAGAAAATGACACATTGATCTCCAAAAAGGAAATTTGTACAAGAAAAAAAAAATTTAATCATATCCGGTAACCAAAATAAACTGTTTATTATTTAATTTGACTAAGAATACAAAAACCAAATTAAAAAAACTGCACTCCATACAGTATGCCCAAAAATTATTTTTTATTTGAGTTGTTTCACCATGATCCCTATAAAAAAAAAAAAGAAAAAAAAAAGAAAAAAAAATTCAATATTTTTTATCAATAAAATTATTTACAAAGTTACATTAAACAATGATTATATTATCATGCATAAAAATTTACCATCAAAAAATAGATCCCTTTTATTTTTTTTTATTATTTTTTAAACAATCAAGAATTCGATCCCTATAAATTCTTTATTATTGATCATCACGAAACAACAACAGATCACTCATATTTGGAATTGCCATAGGAGTGATCGGTGGAGATACTCTTGTTGGAGAAAATATACTTTCTGATATAGGTCGACTAAATAAACTAGATGCAGATCCATTTAAACTATCTCGATTATCGCGACTGTAACCGCTAATAACATTTGAATGACGTCGCCCTATTATTCGAGGTGTTGTTTCTGGGCATAAAAAATTTGATTGTGAAGAACCATAACTTTCAATTGTAGAATTAGTACGGGTCGAAGAACTTGATGCCATGAATGTAGGAGTCATTGGAGGATTTATTATTTTTTTGGGTGATAAAGGTGAAAGATCAACTGAATATAGGGATCGTGTCTTTTCAGATGAACCTATGGATAAAGTACTATCCCTTGATGATAAATTCGAAGGTTTTGAAGAACGCCTTTGATTAGTTGGCGATGGTTCACTAGATGGAGTTGTAGGAGACACCGTGCTCGTGGGCGACAACGATGACGTTGGTGATAAAGCAGTTGGAGATGTAGGTGTAACAGATGCAGTAATAACATGAAATCTTCCAGTAACACCTTTTACAGTAGACTGAGTAGTTTGTGTATTAAGTGATACCTCAGGAATCACAGTAGGAGTTTTTGGAATGTTATCATATACAGAAACAGTGCTAATAGTATTTCTCGGAATGCTATTACTACGTCTATGATGAGTTTTTAATAATAAATCACTCTCTATACTAGAGCTACGTGAGTGTGTTCTACTATTTGTACTTTCCGATTTAGTTTTAATCGGAGTATCATATGAAGGATTATAAGTATCATTATTATTCCTTCCTAATTTTAATGTCTTTTCAAAGTCGACTAATTGATATACAAGACTCATATTAGGACTTATATAAGGACTTCTATCCTTAACGAACTCGTAGGCCTGATTAAGCGTCATACGATTGGTATTCATAACATATCCAATCACAAGAGATGCAGATCTAGAAACACCGCATTGACAATGGACAAGAATATTTCTACCTGCAAATCGAGCTTCATCAATAAAAGAGAAAGCTGAAGAAAAATCTGCAATAAGATTTTCTTGATTATGGGTCCAAAAGAACTTTTTATACTTTATAGGGCCAAATCCATTTGTTGCAGGAACTGTAAATGATATACTTGATGAATAATTATTATTGAACATCGATTGAGTAGGTATTGAATTTGAATTTGAATTTGAGCGAGATGGCATTGAAGAGCGTTTAAGAGAATTTGAACGATAACCGCCAATTGGAGAAGAAATAACCATTGGTGAATCTAATAAAGGAGTTTGAATAGCTGAATGAAAACTATCATTTGAACATTCAGAATTAGGTGAATACGGATAATCTTCAAAGTAAGGATTATCAATTTCTTTAGCAACGTTCAAAATAAACTCAATACCGAGTCTATCAAGCATTTCCCTATTCGCAGCATTAATTTCTGAACCAAGATACAAATGTTGCATTATTTGTATTGGTTCATCCTTGTAGGGTAAATCCTCACCGATTGCATTTTCTGTCTTTGACATCAATACTCTAGGATCTACAGTAGGATTTAAACCTTCAGGATCTCTATTTTGATAAACACATAAAGGAGTTGAAGGACGTCTATTATGAGCATGAGAGACGGCACTTTGTGGTAATTGAGGAGAACTAGGAGCGGAAATAGAAGAACGTACAGGTGGGACGACCACTTGTAAATTTTTTCTATTTCGTAATTTGGCGGAAGGGGGGCTTGGTAAAGGACTTAATAAAGGACTCTTTTTTTCACCATTATCATCTACAACAAGATCGTTATTATTTGGAACGGACACATAATTGACGCTATTAGTGGTATCATTGTCTTGCATTGTCGTTGTAATTGTTTTGTTCAATTTTGTATTGATAGCGGCACCGTCGACAGACACATTAATGCTATGAGACATTGACATTTTTTTATATTGAGGTGCCTGAGGAACCTTGAAATGATCAGTTTCTTCCACTAGAGACGTTGGTCTAGAACCGAACGGATATGATCTTTTTACTGCACTGGTCATGTAACTAAAGAAATCAAAAAGCACTTTTTGTGCAGCGTAATTACAAAAGTAAGAATGTCCAGAATTCTTAACCTTGTTTCTTCTCTTTTTTTTTTTTTTAACAACAGCTAATTATATTATATTGACAAACGGCGCTCCAAATCCGTTATTTTTTCCTTTTATACAAGATTCGACAATTTTGTTGAAAAAATTGAAAAAAAGTGGACGTATTTTATATTATATTAAAGGAGCTGTGAACAGGCCAGCTGATTTTTTTTCTAGTTACAGAGTAGATGGGTGAACGCCTGTTGGGTGTTACTTCGCCTGAGCCAAAGCAGGTGGTTTCCCTTCAAACGTGAGTGAAAAAAAAAAAAAGAAGGAAAAAAAAAAAAATAGAGATAACGACTAGTTAAAGTCACACACTAAACTAAAGAAGGGTGAAAAAATAAAACCCTGTAGTGTGTATTTTGACTGAGTAGTCGAAAACGATCTAGTTTAGCTGCCCTTTTAGCTGAAGGGCAACAGAAGTAAACAGGAAACCTTAAAGGGATGATATACCAAAACACCAATACACATATAGTGTAGGATCAACTTATATGCGGAATGGTGATGGAAAAGGATGTCAGTATACTTAAGTTGATACGGCAGTCAGGTGGGTTCAATACTGCAATTATGGGTATGATTATTATTATATCCAAAAGAAAAAAGGGGCTAAGGAAAATAAGTGAATGAATGATATTATATCTTCCTGCTACCTAAAAAGTTGCGTGAAGCACAACTGGCCAAAAGTAGGTTGTTATGGTATTAAAAGAAAATTCCAACCCTAACTCCAAATCTAAACATTAAAAGGAATGGAGAATGGATATAATAATAAATTTCAGATATCGGAGAAGGGGGAAGTTAAGAGGGCAAAAGAAAGTGCAAAAGGCGAAAAAAATTAGTATAAATAAAATATATATATAATGTACGATGTAAACTGGTCACAAGAGAACACAACAGAAAGCAAATAATGTATCTGGTACATTTACCTCCTCAAATATACAAGTGAATATTTTTTTTATTACAATTTTATGATAGCATGTATTGAATCTTTCTTTTTTTCGTTTAAACCAAGAATTGGAAAAGAAGAAAATCCCTTTTAAAAAATATTCTTTTAAGGGTTTTTGATTAATACGTTTCAGAATTTAATAAGAAATCCTTCTAATGCCGGTAGGAATTATAATTTATTTACATTTATTACACCAAGCTTTCTTTTTTTTTTACATGCATTAATTAAATTACTGCGAGTCATAGTTTTTTTTATTATAGTTCCCGGGCAAAATCTTAACCAATCTGAACGTAGTTTCTATTAATTTTTTTTATTAGTAAGAATCTCATCTCAACATATTGTTAAAGGGCTTAAATATATTTATATACCGGCGTTTCTATAAAAAGATTATGCTGTGACAAGATGCACCATAGTTGATCTAGATTCTCCGCCCTTATACATATTCAATATTACATTGTTTAATAATCATTATCTGTTTATGCTGATGATTTACCTGCCTTGTTAGAGCCCCATTAGTTCTTTTTCTCAAATGGTATTCCTTTATTTGGCTCAAAATTTCTTTTTTACACAAACAATAAATCGTGCAAAATAAGCTATGCACAACATCTCCCGATTAAGAACAAACATTTATAGTTGAATATCAAGAAACATCTATATTTAGCAGCAAACTATATTAGTTACTTAAATTACCCTGATGAAATTCCCTAGAAATTTCGGTACCAATTGAATTCTGTAGGAAAAATCACAATTACATCCGTTTTAAAATCTTTACTTTATATGCTATAAATGCTATTTCCGTGATCATACACTACTATCCCTTTTCAGTTTTCTTTATGTAACATTTATTTAATTTTATTAACTTTATTAATAATTTTATTCAGTTTCGACACATAATCGACTATTCTCCTGATTTACGTTTTCTTTGCTTACAGTCTTCTCATACTAAAAGTTTTATCTTTTCTAATAATTGATTATGCTATAAAACGTCAATTCATTATCTGTTATGTTTATCATGCGTCACCTGTATTACAAATAATTAATAATTATTGTGTAAATTTGTAATTCCCTCACTATTAGATTGTTTTTTATTTTTTCTTTTTTTTGCAAAATTTAATTTAATTTTTACTATTTGCATTCCTTAATTGCTAAACGCATTACTAAATGCATTACTAAATGCATTACCAAATGCATCACCAAATGCATCACAGTATACAATAATAGCATTCACTAATAGCATTCACATATTTGCACAGTCGGTTTTGGAATAATGGTTTTATTTCTCAATAAAGTTTTAAATTTATTTGTTTGTTCCGTTCGTTCAAATAAGAAATTAAAATCCGTCTGTTTCAAAGAGTGAAATTTATGACGAACCATTAAAGTTTTTATTATAATTATTGTTTTACCATATTAAAGTTTGTGACCTATGCTTTGCCATTTCTTTGTTAGTGTGTGCGTAAATAAATTAATAAAATATGTGAATGTTAATATTCAACTTTTATACTCAGAATACTATCGTAAAAATATTACCTATAATCCTCCATCCAGTTGTTATGGGATCTGTTAGATTATCTTCTTGTTTGGTAATCACACATAGATATGAAGCTTGATCGATTTTATCTTCTCTTCCGTATATGATTTCTTTGGTCATTCGATCACGAAATACTATTACTTCCTGAGTACTAAATGATACAACTAACACTGGTATACCAGTATCAAGTACTTTGGCTGTTGCCAGCTTAATAAATAATTCAGATTACGGTTAACCCAATTTTTTTATTAAAAGTATATATATGTAATAAAATTTCATTTTATTTGCTTACATCTACATCTCTAATATCTAGTATCCTTGAATCGCTTTCAAGGCCTTGCTGAAGCTGTGCCTGCACACCATGGCTCAATATTGAATACGTCTATATTCAATTAACTATCTTTAATTAATTTACAAGCAATATCTATTTTTATTCGTTAAAATTTCATTAGATTACATTAAATGTTAATAACTCACCGCCTCCGAACACCATATTTTTAAAGTTTCCATATCACCTTTCAGATATGCCTCCATTATTTCGGGTATAATAAATTCCCTTAATTCTTTCATAAAATCTTCAATGTTAAATCCTGGATCTATCATTTTTAATTGTGTAATCGCCTGTGCTGTTTCATTCTCCTCAAAAAATGACCCTATAATAAACCGATTTGGTTAAAAAGAACTTTGAAAATGACTAGATACTGGGCCCAACATTTAATTTTGTCACGTGATATATCAAATAATGTTTTCACTGTACCAAATGTATATGAAATACGATCTGTAAATTCTCTAGTAAATGCGATAATGGAGTTGTCACTGTCTTGATAATTTCTTTTCAAGTTAAATATGCCTTTTAGTATAAAATAATCATTCCTTTATTACTTCAGATTACGTAAATATAAACATACTCAAAAGAAATATTCATATACCAAAATTTCATACTGAACCTTTCATAACTGGATTATTTTCTTTAAACCTACTCCAACTTTCTTTCCACGCTGAATCTTTATGGATTACCATAGAAGCACCGGCTCTATTTGATCAAAATTGGAAGGTTGAATCTGTAAGTTCCAAAAAGTCATCAGAAACCAAAATATTACTAGTCTATCTTAATATAATGAATATAAATGAAAATAGCAACTTACTCTGGATTTCTTTCAATAACTCGTCTGGATCTGGTCCCAGCTTTTGCTGACTCTTCTTTCATTTTTCTCCTTGTTTCTTTATCAATGAATCCACCATATTTAGATGAATCATCACCTACAGTTTCTTTTAACGTGTCACGAATGTTTGCATACATCTTGGTTTGCCGTATTGGTTCCGTAGTGGACGATATTTTTGATGACACGTCCGAAATCTAGAAAAAGCAAATCAAGTCAATCAATATTTGTATTCATTTCAAAATATTATAAATATTATAAAATATTAATGATTTCTACCGTTTCTTGGGTTCCTTTAATAGTTCCTTTAACATATGGATTCTCTCCAACATCTTTAATCGTGTCTGAAACTTTAGTTCCAATCTTTTCTACGGATTTTTTTAGTTCGTCAAGTTTTTCGGATCCTCGTATGGTTTCTTCCTTTAATTATGAAAATCAACATATGAGATTTTTATTGGGGCGATTCATTTAAAAAATCTTCCGATAAGATTAGCAAATGGCTTAATTCAGGCTCAATGATATGAGTTATTCTGACAATGTACTCTTAACTAGAAATTCAGTATACAAAACGAATAAAAACGTTTATACCTTAGCCTTAGCATAAGCTTCTTTCGCCTTTCTTAAAGTCTCAGAATCTCCAAACTGATCTGCCTGATCTTGCAATAATTTAACATTTTGTTGAAATTCTTTGTTCTTTTCAATTTGTATCCTGAGATTTTCTACAAATCTCGCGAATAAACCAACGTTGCGGACAAAAACAGGTCGCTGTAATGTACGATTTCTTGTTTTCAAAGCCGATGAGTTTATGAGGACAGCGCGTGAAAAAGAGCGAATCATACTTATTAAGCTTTCAAGTCGTATTCAAATCATTCAAAAAGATTTTTGCATATCAGATATCGTTATCAGCAGATTAAAAAAAAATTTTTTATTCATCTGAATCAGGACCGACTTTACTCGGCCAATAGCGATGCTATTGTTCATGGATTGTCAAAAAGATTACCGAATTTTGCCTACAACAGGTAAAGATTTAATATCAGACATAGTACTGTACTTAGTCATATCGATATTATAGTAATTATGTAATTTAAGATAATGATTCCTCAAATCAATCAAGATAATGATACAGCAGGCTAACCTAGGCTAAACCACCACTACTTTAAAATATTCACCTGGTATGTACCATTATAATATATATATATTAAGACACCCACAATATAAAATTCTACATAGGACAGTAGGAGGGTAGTTTAACACGCGAAATACGGTATTTTATTTCAATGAAAGTACAGTACATGTCATTCTGATTATACGTTTTTAATATAGTGCCACATGGCTATACTAAACTTTTTGATCAAAGTTTTTCAACGGCTACCTAGTCAAATTTGATAAAAATTTTGCCCGGATGGTTATTAAAAATATATATACAATATTAAAAAAGAATTACTACTACAGTATATTATATTTATGAATTTAATGTGGATAGTAACATATGTTATTTATTTAACATCTTGAGAGCAGGATATATTCCATTGAGAAAATTACCAACGGAGCCAACGGCTTAATGGAAAATCTAACGAAACCGATGAGAATAGGGTTCTAATCTCTAGCCTCATATACGATAGCTCGACCTGTTGAAAAAAAACAGGTCAATCGCAATGGAGTTAGTTGGCTTCATTCAGTAATTATTCTCAATGGAGTTGTTCTCCATTCGTCCCAATGGATAAATGTGTCAACCCTGTTTGAGAAAGAGGGAAGCGCTCTTACAGTATATAATTTATAATGGTCAATCAAATTTCTCTTTTGTGGGAAGGAGTATAGTAAAAAATAATATAATGTATAATATCTGCCACTAAAATATAGCATTTATTTATAATTTTTATATTCAAAATATTTTTTACTAAAATAAATGCATCTGATGTTTTATTATCTATGTATATTAAAAAAACTGGCGAATTTATCAGTATATATCGATATATTGTAAAATGCTCTCTACTATATACAGTATAAATTATAATTTTATTTATTTAACGGTAAATATTTTTGAAAAAATATGCAGTATATACGTAATACGTAGTTTGAGAATAATAATAAATTTTTAATTTAAATTTTTTATATTAAAGTTACTGTAGTAAATTTAAAAAATTTAACATAAAATATTTTTAACTAAAGCATCGTAATTAACCAACTTTTAAAATAATATATGAGGTACATAAATATAAAACAATATATATCTAATATACTGCATTAACTTATTAAACAATAAATACTGTATACGTATACATTTATTAAAGCATGTTTTAGGACTATTAGCAAAGGTTTATTTTTATTACAACTTATTTAATTTACATGTTTTTTTACAAAATTCTTCCAAATGAACATTTATAAAATTTTTTTTTTGAAAAGCAATAAAACTTGTATATACGTATAATGCTTCTTAGATTTACATACATGCCTTTTACGTATCAAAATGCCTAACAAATTTAATGAATTTGAAATAATTTAATAATTAGAATATACTAAATATATAACGATATTGAGATTGAAATTGACAATTTTAAATAAAAAGCAGATCTTTGAATCACTAATTACATAATTGATTACTATTTTCGACTAGCATTAATTTTCTAAACTATATATAACGAAATTACTAATAAAAGTACATGAAAGAATTTCATTTACAAATTATTTTTAGAAAATCAATAGTATATAATTGAATTTGTTTCAGATTTCTTACCTTATTTTCGAGGACACATTTATCACGCGATTATACGTATTATAAATTTGTTCCAAACATCAACAAAAATCTGCATGTATTCATACATATACGTATACATATGTAAATATTAAATATTATATATATAGATATATATACTATATATCAATGTATATAATTTGAATTCAATACGTATAAATATGATAAAATTTACCTTTTATATATGCTGTATATTGTAATTTAATAGAATTTTAATCCTTTGCATCTTCAATTCCGCCTTGTCCGATCGAAAAAGTAGCTTCACCTTCTGGAAGACATGGAGAGTCATAAATTTTGCAAACTCGATTATCACCTTTGCCTTTACGTAAATATAATCTGAAAAAAAAATTTTAATATCATTAAATTACAATTGATTTTTATTTTCAAATTTGAAATTTCAGGACTACCTTGTTGTTGATGCATGTGCAATAATATTCCCACCGATAGGCTTTTTATCATTGGCACCAGGAAATAGCAAGTTTCCATCAACAGACGCTACGACTTGATTTGTAATAACTACCGCAATACCAAACTAAGAAACGTATAAGTAACATAATATATATATACATGTGTTAATATCAACAATCACTAATAGATATAACAGATATATAAGTACGTACTTCATCAGCTAAACGAAGTAAGCCACGCAAGAATTTTGCCAAATGCATCTGACGTGCAGCAAGTTCACCTCGACCAGAGTAATCCGTTCTGTATAAAGATGTGACACTATCGACAATTAAAAGACCAAATCTAAAAAAAGATAAACAAATATATAATTAGAATAGAGGTTAGATCAGCAAGAAGTAAATCTTAAAAAAGAGGTAAAACCTTGACGAAGCCATCATTGCAGCAGCATGTATCAATAAATTCATTTGATGATCAGTATTATAAGCCCTTGCGACAGCGACGTTATCCAGAATTTGGTTCGGATCCATTCCATAACGTTCAGAGATTGAAGCCAATCTTTCGGGTCTGAAAGTACCTTCAGTATCGATATAAATACATTTGCCTTCAGAACCGCCGTTATTAATTGGAAGCTTTAAAAATATAATAAATAAATATAATAAATGTAATAAAATTTAAAAAAGTTACAAGAAAATAGATAATAAAGATTTATTAATAAAATTATTACCTGACATGTAACTGCGAGAGTATGACAAAGTTGACTTTTTCCAGTTCTAAATTCACCAAATACTTCAGTAATAGAACCGGATTCAACACCACCTAATCGAATAAAAAAAAAGAAATAAGAAATTTTTTAGTAAAACCTTCAGTCAATAATAGAAAAAAGAGTTATTACCTCCAAGAAGTTTATCAAATTCAGTAGAACCAGTGGTTATGTAAACATATTCAGCCCTTCTTTCCTTTACTTCAGTTGCAGTTTCGAACCCCATTTTAGGGGCTAATTTGAAAGCTTCAGCTTGAATTTTATCGACTTTTGCTTCAGAAATCCCTTTAATAGTCAACAAAGCTTTTCTGGGAGTAAAAGCTATAGATTGAACAGTATTATATCCGTTATCAGAAAGTTTTTTAATATCAGAAGCATTAATGCCATAACCCTTTAGAATTGTAAAAATAACACGTCAAAAAGTTATAAACAAAACGCGTATAAAACAGAAAATAGATAAGAAAATAGGTAATAGCAGACCTCAAGTGTTGAAACTGGTATATGAAACATTTCCTGTTCTTCTTCTTCTTCTTCGTCAGCATATTCATCTTCGATAGGTTCTTTTTCGTGAGACATTGTTAAAGTCAAAAAATATCAAAGGTGTGCTAAGCGTACAAAGAGCGCTAAACGCGTGTTCCTGTGGTATTTATATTATGATCCCGATCGATCAATAAATCACTCAAGATCACGGGGTATTATAACAACAACTTGTTGTTCAGTAGATACTCAATAAAATATGCCAATAATTTCTATTATAAAGGCAGTTGCGTATTTAGAAAAATTACGGATATGAAAAATTTGAAGCCATTCTTGTATTTTTTTTTTTCACATTTATTTTCATCCTGTCACGGAATTTAATTATGCCAAATTTCATCATACCGTTTTTTTTCTGATCGAATCGTCATTTATCAAAAGTACAAAGTATTGGTTGTATTTGACAAAGTTACGTTTCATAGAACGTCCGACTTGTTTTTTAAAGAATATTGAACTGAAGTGAGACAGCTGTCAATGTTACAATTTTTTATTACTATATAATAAGTGATAATTGAATCTAGCAGAAATTTACAGTAAATATAGGAAAATTTCAATATATTATTCAAAGTTAAAACATGAGCCAAATAATTAAAAACTTTTTTTTTAACATTAATTAATACAAGAAATCAGGTAAAAATAGATTATTAAGAAATTGCTACTGATAAGGTTTTGAAGTAATTATATATGTGTACTCAAAATTTCAAAATTACTTGTTGGTGTGGAAATTGTGGAGGGAAACAGAAGAACTGGTGTATATTCTGATACAGCTGGAATCGATGGGTCCCAAAAAACTTCTGAAACTGGATGATTTCTGTAGCTCTACAAGAACTTTTTCTACATTAGCTTGCATACAGTATTTTCGTCATAAGAAATGCAGAAGCATTACATGCAGTAGGGTTGTTATTTCGTCGATGATGAGTCACTAAAAAATACTTTAAGTTAAAAATCCTACTCTTGATATATATATGGCTTCTTGCTGCCACAGTAAAGATTATACCTGTACAAAAGATCCGGATTACTGGAATTTAGCGTTCCGGCCTACATGAATATATTAACATTAAAAAATCTCATGAAACTAAAAATATTAATTAATGTATCAATTATTAAAGCACATTTTATTTCCTGCAAGTGATATGTAAGGTTTACGTAAATTATGTAGCAGATTTAATCTAGATTCCTCAATAATACGTTTTGTCGATCCAAGTTTATTAAATAAAGAAACCCAGCTTTGAAGAAAGTCCAGGATATAGAGCATGAGGTTGTTGGACATGAGACCTGTTTGGATATATCGAAACATCTGCTGCATTTTAGTAGCAATTATGATAAATATAATCCCACGAATCTTGCGATTAGTTCGCCATTCCCAGAAAGGCTATAATGAAT